ATTTGCTGTTTGGTATGGTGAGTTTAAATGCAACGCACCCTGAAATTTAAGGCAGAGAATGAGGTAACAGGATGAAGGTGGGAGAACTCCTTCAGTGCTGTGTAAACAAAGAAAATCTATAAACTTACAGTTTCAAATTTTCACTTGAAGTGATTTTACACCACAGTGGGAGTTTTCCTTTGGGTTGATCAGTGCTGTTGACAGTATGTCAGTGAGTATTGTGTAACCCAGGTCAGCTTGCAATTTATCATGCACCATATCATGTCTGATATATGTTCACTGAGTTGATGATTCCTTTTTAGATGTTTCTGTGCAATATGTTATCACTAATTTAGGCTGGTGCAAGCCAGCGCTCTGTATTAGGCATTCAGTTGCAGATACGTCATTTGTACTTCCCACAGATAACGTGCAAATCTGGATCTCCTTAGTCTTCTGTTCTTAATCTACTAGATGCAACTTAAGAAATTAGGCTGATTCTGATGCAGCCTAATTAAGTATACTCATGGTTATACACATCTTACTGAATCTACTCATGCTAGGAATAAATTATGTCTGTGTACCTTAATTAATTGGGACTTCCTTTAAAAACCAAGATGTGCCCAAGACTTAACAGAGTAACTTTTAGCTCTTCCAAAACTTTCTTCCTGATTTGCTTTATTCAGTTATTTTCAAATCTAAACACTGTTGGCCAACTCCTTGAGGAGGGAGAGCCTGTTTCTGCATCGGTTTCTGATTAAACACAAATTTGAGTGCTAGAAGTAACCGATTTTACTCTACAGTGTCTAAACCTGTGGCTTTGCAGAATTCTGTTAATCTTCGTCCTGACAAAGGAAGACTATGAGAACAGTTAAATTAGAAAAGCATACTACATTGCTCAGGACTACTGCTTTCCAAAAGTTGTTATCTTCTAACTGTTTTCTGAAATCTGGTTTTCTTATTTTTTTTTCCCAGTGGAAAAACTACACTTGTGACAGGAGTGTTCATGAAACTCTTCAGAAAAGTGATGTACATGGCCCAAAATAATTATATTTGCATGGTGTTTGCTACAGTTTAACACTGTAGCTGGGCTGTAATCTGAGAACGGTGCAAGGAATATCACGAGCTTGAACCTGAACTGTGATGTCAGAGATGAGGGATGCTCCTTGCCACTCTAGGGTTAGATGTGTTTTTCCCTTATCTATTTCCCTATTGCTCCCACCACCCCACAGTTATTCAAGCAGTGGGGAATTTCTGCAATCATTAATTGCATTTATAGTTTGGCTATGTAACACACAATACTCCCTAAAACTGTGGGGTTTTTAATCTTCTCACAAATATACCAGCAGAAGTGTCTAGCATGGTCATCACCTGTTTTCGAGGCTGTACACTGATTCCTTCTTATCAGCCTAATATAAAATTCTGGCTTGAGCATGTCTGAAGTCTTTCTAATGCTGCATTTTGGGCTTTTAAAGGATTTCACTCTCAAGCATCCTAAATTATGCTGCATGGCCTTTCTACTGCAGTAAGTGAAGTTTAGAGCAAATAAGGAGAGAGGAACTGAAAACTAAAGCTCTGAGGAGTAAGGAGCAACCAGATTTTGGAGAATGATGGCTAGGCCTGCTTTAGTACTTGCTAGTGTTTGCTCTACCTTGTTCATCCCAGCGAAAATCGGAGTACTGGAATGCAAGTGCTGAAGTAGAGAGTGCTTTTTGCATCAGCACACTTGCTGTGTGGCTAATGTGGCATGGGAGCGGGTGGCCCTGAGAGGATGAAACATCTCCATCCTTGGAGATTTTTGCAATTTGGATAGATTGATCATGTCCCGAAACGTGCCCCTATCTTGTGTTGATGATGATCCTGCTCTGAGTGGGAGACTGGAACAAATGACCTCCATAGGTTCCTTCCAGCCATTGCCTCTGTGGTTCTCAGAGCTGAAGATCTATTACATCAGGTTTTGTAATCCACCCTTTGGCATTAATTGCTTTCCTGGCTCTTTGCTTAGTGTGTGTATCTCTTGTGAGTACTAGATTTTGATACTTTCAACATACCATAGTTGGGGCTCTTTAATCAACATCATGATGACCTTTTATTCTTCAGGTTGTTTCTCTGTTTCTATGCCTACTGCATGTAAAAATCTACAAAGGCAGCACAGATGAACAGACACCTAATAACAGCAACAGATTTCCTATTTCTTGCAGGACCTCTTAGCTCAGAATAATGAAAGTGGGAAGAAAATGCTGGTGGCTTCCAGCACTTAAAGATAAGAGTGGTACTTGTGGGCCACAGAGTGCCCAGAAACAGAGATGTAAGTAGAGGGAGTGCCGTGCATATGGAATCCATATTGCGCCCTCTGCCCCCCAGGCTGTGCTAGATCAACCAAAGCAGTATGTGTTTTCTGAAAACCAGCACCAAACTGCTTTGGTTGAGGCCTGGCTCAGCCTCTATAAAGGTAAGGTATTCTGTTTAGGCAGTGTGTGTTTTCTGACCTTGAATCCTAATGCAGAGGCAAGAAGGGGTCTGAAGTGACATTGCCATGCTCTCCTCACCTGTGCTTCTCTTCTGTAGCTTTGTCGGTACGTTTTAAACAGTTTTGGAGACTTCCGTAAAGAAGCTTCTGTTCTTTGCCACTGATGAAGAAGTAAAAATATTTTTACGAGTAAGGGTTGCAGAGTGTTTTACTACTTGCTGCCTAGCAGAGCAGGTAGGGTTATGTCTGGCAGATAAAGACCTGCTATAGATTATTTTGATATTCTGTCACCATGTAGCATTTCTGGCTTCTCCATGTTCTTGGGTGTTACTAAGACACTGGTCTTTTTAGCAGAATGTATTTTGTTGCTTGTTTAGAAAAAGACTCAAAGGTAGCGTCCTCCAGTTGCCAGATGAATGGAACACTTTTCAATAAAGTGTGCCTACTGCGAATGTCCATAGATTGCTTACTGAAAGAGAAATCTGAGTATATTTGAAAACCTGGCAGAAAGAATAAATAAAACCTCCTGTCTTTGTGTTCAGAGGACAAGTGACAAATTGGCAGGCTAACTTGAATTTTGTTAGAGATTGCTCTGTGTGTGTTTGTTAATGTATATGTCTGATGTAAATCTAAGTAGTTTCTCAACAGTCCAAGTATTGTGCAGTTGGTGTTCAGTTATTGATTGTATTTACCTTACAAGCTCTCTGTGAATGCAGAGTCTATATCATGAACATTATCACGTAAACTAAGTTTTCAGTAAAGTGTCATTTCAGTCTGAAAGGTTAAAGATTAGTTAAAATGTCGTTAATTTTTTTTTTGCAGGAAAAAATCTGAAGTATAAACATAATCAAACTCATACTTCAGAACTTCTGAATTAAAATACCATCATGTGTCTCTGATATTAGAAATACTCACATTGCTCTTTTTGTTTGACCTGCCCCCTTAAAACTCATTTTAAGAGAGTTGGATTTGGGGCCATGTATTTTTTAAGATGTTGATAGATTGGCCCAAATATTTTGCATCTAACAGCCCTGAGGTCATACAAGCTGTTAAGAGACTGTGCACATAGTCACCCTTGTTGGTTTTTGTTTAGAGAAAACAATTTGTAAATAGTTGGATAGTTTGTTTTTCTAATGCGGTAAATGTGTGAGTTTTGATCCACTATTGGGACGTGAAGGTAGGTTTGGCCACAGTAGAGTTCAGATCTGCTCCTGAGGATGACCAGAATTGCTCTGTGGTTAAACTTTGAAGAGCATTGCTATTTATGCAAGGAGAGATATGCAGAAATCATAGAGCTATGCAGAGGGAAACGGAGCAAGGAGGATAAAAAACTGTTTTAGATGAAGGGGAGGAAGAGATGAGGGTTGTGTGAATGGTGGTGCTAGCAGTGCCAGAAGATCAGTGCTACTGCCTTGGCAGGTTTTTTCCCTTCTTGTTTCTGATCCAAGCAAGATTTTGAAGGATGTGCCATCAAATGTTTTTTCTGTGTAAGCTGAAGAGAAGGAGAGTGCTGGAAATGTGTAGTGCAGCTTGACAGGTGGTGTACTGTGCTCTCCAGTGAAGCCATAAACAGGAATACAGAGCTTGGTAACTCGGACATCCTGGTGCTTGGGGTGGAAATGCAGGCAGAGTAGCAGACACAGGAACTAGGAAAAAATAGCATAGATAAACTTAGAACCTTCTTAGGCTTTTTTGTTATTAGGAGTCCATGACTTTTGACATCCTTGTATTCTCATGTCACTTAGTATTTATGTACTTTCGTTAATAAAGGGTTTACCATATGAAACACAAAACCCACTCTATGATTCTTTAAGCTGCAGCCAGGGTAGGCGAGCTTTGCGCAGTGGGGATGTCCGTAACCCCGAGCACACCAGCACCGAGGGAAGATGCTGGGGAAAGCTGGGCGGTGTTCCCTGCTGCGGCTGGGCGGCGTGTAACCGAGCAGCCCAGTGCGGGGGTTCCTTCAAAAGGAGGAGCTTGAGCCCCAAATAGCTCCTTGGTGTGGCGAAAAGGCGGATGATGCGGAGGTACCGGGGGACGGAGGGTGATGAAGAGGCGTCGGGCTTTGAGGTCTCGGCTGGTCTCGTAGAACCAGGGCGACACCGCGGCTGCCCTTGTCCCGGGTGGCACTGGGCAGGGGGACGGCGCGGTCCCTGCAGGGGAGAGGCTGTGTTTCCGTGCCGCCCACGGGCGCAGGGACACGTGCGGAGGCGGCGGGATCGCCGCGCGGGCACGGGGAATGCGTGGGGGGTGCCCCAGGCGCTTTGTCTGTGCCTGCCCCGAGAAGGGGCCGCCGAACAGCTCGGGCTGGTCCCCCGCGGGGGACGGCAGAGCCCCCGCACGCCCGGGGCGAGCGGCTCTTTGTGTGGGGGCGCGGGGCGGGGCGGGCGCCCCTTCCCTTCCTTCCCCGCTCCCTCCCTTCCTTGCCCGCTGCCGTCCCCGGGCGCAGCGCGGCGCCGGCCGGTTGCCATGGCGAGGGGCGGTCACGTGTGGCGGCGGCGGCGGCGGGGCTGACGCGGGCGGGGCGGGGCTGACGCGGGCGGAGCGGGGCGGGCGGGCGGGCGGCGAGAGAGTCGCGGCTGCCGCCACCTTCCGCACACCAGCAGCAGCAGCGGCAGCAGCGCGGGGCTCTGCGGAGCGGCGGGAGCGCCAATGCCCGGACCGACCCAAGCCCTGTCCCCAAATGGCGAGAACAACAACGACATCATTCAGGATAACGGGACCATCATCCCCTTCAGGAAGCACACGGTGCGAGGGGAGCGCTCCTACAGGTACGGCGGGGGGGCTGCGGCGGCGCGGGTGGGAGGTTGCATAAGGAGGGCGGGCTGCAGCCCCCTCCTCTCGCCCCGGCCCCGCATTGTCCGGCTGGAGAGCGTTCGGTGCATAAGCGGGATGTCTGCGGGGACTCGCCGCGCCCGGGCGGAAGAAAGGCGGTTAAATATGATAATAAAAAAAAAAAAAAGAGAAGGGGGGTAAAATAAAAAGGAAGGAAAGAACGCACCCCGCGCAGGCAGCCAGCTCCCCCTGGAAAAGAGCCGCAGCACCTCGCTGCGGATCTCGGAGGGAGGCGGTGCCGTGCGGGAGGCGGCGGCCGCGGATGGCGGGGCTCGGGCAGCCCCTGCCCGGCCCGGGGACCCGCACCGGCACCGGGCACTGCTCCCCGCACGCCGCTGTGGGGGTGACAGCCGCCCCCCGCGCACCGGGGCGGCGGTGACAGTCCCCCCAGTGCCTGCGCGGGGGAGGGCGGCTCCATCCCCGCCCCCCGCTCCCCGCCAGCCCCATTTTGTGTTTATTTATCGTTCCTCGTTTTGGGGGGACACACGTCTTTTGTCGCAGTTGTAGGCATTTTTGATGAATCGTTTGGCATGCGTTACTGGCAGCGCTTTTGCATTAACATCTCTGACAATATGTTCCGGCAGATAAGCTCATTAAAATTGTTTGCATTGTTTGATAAGGGTCGTGGCGCAGCCCGGAACGCAACTGGTTTGATGTGCTCCTTGTTGCCGACTCGAAGGGTGATAATACGGCCGGTGGCTCCCCTTATGTCAATATACAGTTATTTTAAATGCTGCCTGGATGACAGCAAGCAGTGCCTCTGCAGAGAACACGCCCCTTAAAGCTGATTTTCAAGCAACAGGAAATGATGCTGCTCTCAAATTTCTGACTAAAGTGGCGAGTTGTATGCTCGATTAGATGAAAACAAACGTGGATGACATGGCTGAAGAAAATCACAGTATTTTTCTTCTGCTGGGGAGTAACGGAGCTGCTACCGGTATAGCTGACCATTAAGAACAGTGAATCTCATTGTTGATCACACGCTGACGCATGATCTCAAAGTGTGTCGGTGATCCCAGCGTGTGGCTTGTTTGAATTGCTCAAAATTTAGTCCGTCTCACTCTAAATCTGCTCATAGTTTGTGCAATGGAGCCCCAATGCACACATTTAGCACGAAGTAGCAAATTTGCTTTTGTAAGGACCTATTTCTACTTGCAGAAAGCCTGGAGCTCTCACTTCCTATATGTAAATTTCAGCTGAGTAGAACAAGATTCCGGTTTAGAGGAAAGCTGGTGCACCTAAGCAGAAATGTGAAAATATTTGAAATACCATGCATCTATGTTTAGTTATTCTGACATGTCATAGGTGCTACTGATTGCTGTCTCACTTCTTCAGAAGGGTTCTTTGGAAAACCTCTGTTAAATGGGGTTCTCCATTTTTCTTTTGCAATAGGTTTGTATGTCAAGTTTTCTTGTCCTTCTGCCTATCAACAAGTCAGTTTTCTTGTCCTTCTGCCTATCATATCAGACATTGAACTATGTCTAGAAAAAACATTTTGCAAGGCTGCGGTGTTAAGCACCTGATGACAGAAAAAACTGTAATGTTTGCCCAATTTTTTGGAAATTGTGAAGTTATTCTGCATCTGAATAGCCTTTAATCCAGAGTAGTACTCCTTAGTCTTCTAGGGATTTGAATCCATTTGTATTCCTCTCTAGAGCAATATAAAGGAATACAGAACTCTTAATGCTAATGTTGCGTGTTATTTTTGGGCAGTAAATAAGTAATCCAGTTCTATATATTTCAGAAATAAACCTTTAATGCACAAATAAAAATTTCCACTGGAGAATTCTATTTAGGTTCTTTTTTCCTTGTGGAAACTTACCCTGATCTGCACAGTCATGGCATCCATGTCTGTTGATTTCTCACTTTCTCCAAGGGACAGAATGATACTTAACTTGCTCTCATTTCTAGCTTTAAGTACTTTAGGAAGGAAATGGCAAGCATAACAGAAGGGAAACGTTAAAGAAAATATATGAAACCTGCTGTGAAACTTCTCCTTGGTACTGAAAAAAATGGCTTTTAACTTCCATGGAAACCTTTACTAATTAGGTGAGTTTGGTGCTTGTCCAGTTTGAGCTGCAGCAGTTATACTCAGTAAGTATAACAGATGAATACCATCAGTATAGTGCCTGCAACCACGCTGGACTGTCAGTGCCATTGCTGACTTCAAAGCAGCCTTACAGAGCAGCTTGTACGACCTTACCATATGACACATCAAGTTGTTATGCCTCTGAATGTTGGGCTGGCTTGTTCCATGTGCATCTAAGAATATGAAATAAATATGTCATTAAACACACCCTGGAGCTTGACATCAGATCAGCAGTTACTTGTACAAAGCTAGAAGTACATACTTTGCTTGTAAAACACTTGTGCAGCTCTTAACCTGCATTTCCCATGTGTATACAGGTTCAGTATTTGCCTTTAGGTCCTTCTCTCCTGTAATATCAGAAATGCTTTCTCATTTTACAACTTCTAACGTGTTCTGTTTTGTAGATGTTTTAAAACAAAAGTAGTCTTTACTGATCAGAAAATTTGTGTTTATCGGGTTGGATATTCTGAGACCTAAAAAAAAGCTTTGCTATTTCTAATACCAGGTCTTACCAAAGATTTAATATCCAACTCCTGAATCAGACATAAAAACAGCTGCAGTTTATAACTTTTTACAGACTAGGAGGCTGACATGGAAGGAGATGCCATAAGTTATCCACTGAGTTGAGGATGCAGCAGGGAATTGAACCTATACCACGAGTCCTAACCGTATGCTCCATATGCAAAGCCACAAATAGTTTTTCCAAGTCTTCCAAAGGACGTATTATATTTTGCAGACTGAGACATACGGGCCCAAGGTGTTAAGTTTCTCATCCAGCTTTACTTAGGTGGTAAATGGAAACCAGGCACTTCGGCATAAAATATAGTCACAGGGTGATGTTACACCTTTTAGAGTTAATAACTGTAATCAATCTGTATTGCTCTAGTAAAATGCTGTTTCATGTCCTCCAGACTGAGTTTAAAATTTTTTTGGTACTGAAGTGTCTTTTCGTTGACCCAGAATAGATTTGGGGTAATTTCTGAGAATGGCACTACATTTAATTATAGTTTTGCTTCTGTGTTCAAAGAAGGCTGAAAAAATTTAATGAGAAACCAAATCAAAAGCTATGTGGGGAATTTTTTTTAAAATAGGGTATGTTTGCAGTGCTTTTATTGCCAGAATCTGGGCATTTTGTGTGGTAGATCAGCTCATCATATTTTTAAAAGCTAACTGTACAAAAAGTTTGAATACTTCCAGGTTTGAATTATATACCTAGCCCACCCTGGTTCTAAAGGGGAAAACTGTTGTACCTTCCTTTGTAGGAGACTGTGCTTAACTTTTGGTTTGTCTGTGTGTTTTGCTAGAAAAATGCTTTTCTGGTCCTTCATTCCCTGACTATATTTAGTTTTATACCCAGAACTTGCACGAAGTGGGGGGAGGGGGGCCCAACTTCCTGATTGTTTTTCTTCAAATCACTAAGCTGAAAGGAAAGAGTATTTTTGTTGTAGTTTTTATCTGTGAGCATGTACCTCTCTAAAGTTATGTTTTAAATATCTGGTTTTCCTAAGTGTTGTCTTCCTTCTAGAAGTCGTTGTGTAAGCTGTCAATGAGCGATGGTGCTCTGCATACTAATGAAAGCAGGACAGAAGTGGCGATTTCCTCACCCACTGCTGAAATAAACTGTGGGGTGTTACAGAGCATATCTGGCTGCCTTTTACAGCAGTATGAGCTGATAACTTTCATGCTGAAAGTGGAGATTTATGTTATAGCAAAATCTGTTTTGGTCTTTGCCTTCCCAACTCCCAGTGAATTGCCGGATGCAGGTTGGCCCTGGGCAGCAGAGAGCATCCTTCCCTCTGCAGGACCTGCCCCTGTCTCTGGTGGCTCTGTGCCTTCCACATGTGTGGCTTTACTCGGGGTTCAAAGGGAGACCTACAGCTTTGCCTTACTGTGGGCAGAAGGAGTTTCTTGCTCTAAAATTCGGTTCCGTTGAATATGGTGAGCAGGTAGTTCCACTGAAGTAAAAAAGACCATTTGTGTTGATAAAATTAATATAATAATGCACGACCTTGCTGAGAACTGGGAAGACAATACACAGTAAAAGCAAGGAGCTATCTTCTTGCTTCTTAGTACAGACAGGTGTGACTTCTGAAACTGTAAATGCTAGTCGAAGCAAATGCTACTATTATTACTATATATTAGTAACTGAATCATTATTTTCAGAGGCATTTGCTGTTCACCTAACAGCTTTATTGAAGATTATGAGAATTTTGCACTAGATTTCACTGAAAGGAGAAAGTCTATAACAAATGTTTAAAAAAACCCCAGCAACGAACCAACATAAATCACACCCCATAAATTTGGCTTGAGCTTTTCTAAAAGTGGTATTTTTGTGATAACCCCCTTGTCTGTCAAGCGTCTGGATTGCAACAAGATATTTACTAGCTATCGGGCAGAAGACTGTCCTGATGACTTAGAGCCAGCAGCTACTAGCCAGCATTAAAAGGGACCATGCAGAAATCTTTCCTTGGTTCCTGTGAGCTTAGGTACCCTCTTATTTTCTCTTCTTTCACTTTCCTAAAGCTGTCTTCCTATCGCTGCCGCTGCTGCTCTTCTTTAATCTTGTTTTCTGATTAGGGAGTACTCTGCCTAGAGAGAGCTGTTTTGGTGAGTATCTTCTGCTGGGTCCAGCTCTCAAAAGGCACAGGGTGAAACTGTCTGAAGATAACTGGGAGTCACATGTGAGTGCGTATAAATGTTTCCGAGGGTTATGAGGATGACTCTGCTCAATACTGCGTCAGTAGTTTGAAACCTAGATAATCCCTACCCATGTTTTTGGGCTACCTCTCTTGATGTGGATTTGATCTTCCTTGAAGAGAATATCTTCACAGTGTTTTGGGTGTTGGG